TGAAATTTGGCACTGTATAGACACGGCCAAATTTTGAAATAGATGGTCTCGAAATAAGCTATGCAATTTACGTAGCTCAAATTGCATAGCTTATTTCGAGATGGTGCCGCTGAGCAGAAGCACCCACAGAAAGGGGGAATACCTTTCTTGTTGTAAAGTCTCTTTTATCTTTAAGTGGTTTTGATTGTTTGCCATTGCCTGCGATGGTTTCCTGTTGAAAGTCATAAAGCTAAACAATTGAATCTTGCCGGCATCACCAGCTCAATAGGGTGGGGTCACAACCCTCCTTTGCCCTAATGGGTCGTTACTGAGGTACACACTGGGGGTATGTCTAGACTACATGCCTCTGCCGGCATATGTAGTCGAGACATGTCCTGGGAGATAATGGACTATGTAGCACTTTAAAGACTAACAAGATGGTTTATTAGATGAAGAGCTTTCGTGGGCCAGACCCACTTCCTCAGATCAAATAGTAGAAGAAAATAGTCACAACCGTATATACCAAAGGATACAATTTAAAAAAATGAACACACATGAAAAGGATAAATCAAATTTCAGAACAGAAGGGGGATGCGGGGCGGGGGGGGGAAGAAGGTAAATGTCTGTGAGCTAATGGTATTAGAGGTGATAATTGGGGAAGCTATCTTGGTAATGGGTAAGATAACTGGGGTCTTTGTTGAGACCCACGTGTAGAGAGTGTCGAATTTTAGCATGAATGACAGTTCAGAGGATTCCCTTTCAAGTGCAGATTTAAAAGGCTTCTGAAGCAGGATGCAGGTAATTAAGTCGTTGAGACAGTGTCCTTTCTGGTTGAAATGGCAAGAAACTGTTTTTTCTTTGTGATCCTGTCTAATATTTGTTTTGTGGGCATTGATCCTAACACGGCTACATTTCTATCACTGGGAGATAATGTAATTTCTACTCCCAATCCATAAAGCAAACTTCCAATATAAATACATTATTCTGTAAATATTACTTTTGCATACAAACATCGCTCCTTGATTATTAGCTGTGACAAGTTATGGGCTTTGTGTAGTTATTTCAGGCTACGTCTAGACTGCAAGCTACTTTCGAAAAGTTATTTTCGGAACATATCTTCTGAAAAAACGTCTTTCAAAAGAGCACGTCCACACACAAAAGCGCATCGAAAACGCGATCTGCTTTTTCGAAAGAGAGCATCCAGACTGATTGGACGCGCTCTCGCATAAAAGGCCACGTGGAACCACTTCAACCAGGGCTTTAGGTCACCAGTTGTTTCCGAGTGCAGGTGCCAGAGCCTTGCAGAGACATGCGCTTAAAGGGACCCCCCCTACACAGCCGTTTCTCTGCTTCTGCTGTGCGCTTGCTACCTCTTCGAGGGACAGCAAAGCTCTCGCAGTGCCTGCTGTGGTTGTCTGGCTTTTTTGGACACCACAGCTTTTCTCTTGGTGCCATGAAGCCGGAACTGACCCTGGGCATGTGATGGCCCCACGCGGCCAGGCTGCAGTTTCTGCAGCACTTTGTGCCAGCTGCCTTCCTGGTCCTGACTGAGCTCAATCCTGAGCTGATTCTGGGAACCCTCTCCCTGGGTGCGGAAGCTCCACACTAGCAACCGCACCCCACAGAGGAGAGGTGTTTTTGGAGGCTGGACACCAGTCCCAGCTGGTCATGGAGCAGTGGGATGACCAGCAGTGGTTCCAAAACTTCTGCATGCAGAAGGCCACGTTTTTGGAGCTGTGTGCCTGGCTTGCCCCTGCCCTCCAGAGACACGACACTCGCCATCCCCCTGGAGAAGCTGAGCTGTGGCATGGCTCGCCCCTCAGTCCCAACTGGTCCGGCTGTGGAGAACACTAAGAGGGCGAGGCGGTCAGTCGTCCAGGCAGACGCTGTCCCTGAGGCCGTGCCCTCCTCTGTGAGGCCAGGGGAGGGGGATGTCCTGGGAGCAAGGCCATGTGTGGCCTGCACAGCAGGCCCTGCTTCCTGGGGCCTAGGGGACCATGCTGCCCGCTTCCCAGCCCACGGTCAAGAGGCAAGGGAAGTGTCTGGCCACAGTGGGATCCTATGCGCGGCAGAGGGGCCGGGAGCAGCCTGGCCCTCTGAGGTCCACACACACACCTGCACCTCTCAGCGCTGCCCACGGGAGCGGGTGGTGCCTCGCACGTGCAAGCATGCCCGTGTGCTGGGTGCGACACTCCTCGGGGTGTCCGGGGTCGTGCCTGTGCCCTTGTGGCTAGCCTGCTTCCAGCTGTGGCAGGTGCTGGAAGCCCCCCCCTTCCCCTCGGGGCTGGATGTGTGTGGAGTCTGGCAGCGGGATCCCACCTGTGCTCAGCGCGGCAGAGGGGCCGGGAGCAGCCTGGCCCTCTGAGGTCCACACACACACCTGCACCTCTCAGCGCTGCCCACGGGAGCGGGTGGTGCCTCGCACGTGCAAGCATGCCCGTGTGCTGGGTGCGACACTCCTCGGGGTGTCCGGGGTCGTGCCTGTGCCCTTGTGGCTAGCCTGCTTCCAGCTGTGGCAGGTGCTGGAAGCCCCCCCCTTCCCCTCGGGGCTGGATGTGTGTGGAGTCTGGCAGCGGGATCCCACCTGTGCTCAGAGGCTGCCTGCTGAGTCCACGTGGCGCACACTAAACTGCATGGACTGCAGCGTGATGTCCAGCCCGAGCTGCCCCAGTGATGCTCGCACCCCTCCCCCTCTGCACCCACCTCCCCCGCCCTGTGTGTGTGACAGACTGAGAGCACTCACCTGAAGATCCCTTCCCGGCGTCAGACTAGGCCTGGCTGAAAGGCACCAGATCCAGGGACAGGGTGGCGATGTCCGTCTCCTCCTCCTGCTGGCTCTGGTCATTGTCCTCCTCTGCCGTGACCTCCGGCTGGGTGACGACAGGGGTCTTGAGGCCGGAGTCCACCACGACGAGTGGGGAAACAGCTTCCCCACCCCCAGGATTTGGTGCAGCTCCTGGTAGTAGGGGCAGGGGTGGGGGACTGCCCCTG